TATACATTTCATTTTATACTTTCAGTACGTAGACTAAAATCAATATTAGGTTATACTTTTGTTGCTAAGCAACATGACATAAAAACCGTTGTTGGAACGTAGTGTTACCAAAACGCACTGGTTGTTTTTATATTAGAAGTTGTTCATCTAACTGATTTTTACCAATAATTATTTTATGAATACGCCATAAATTCTTTTCATGAATGATCTTAATTTTGATTGGCTAACAAAGGAATTTACCGACGTTTGACTATCTCGACTGCACTTTTTTCCCTCTTTGTTGGTGAAGCTTGATTTCGCAAAATTTATTTATTTCAGTTAGTTATGAAATGTGAGGTTAGGGTATACTATGGGGTGGGGTGGGGATGGTAGTACTTGTCCCGTTATTTTTGAATGGGCTATACACTAATGTTATCTACGTAAATATAATAATACTGTCTGTCCGTGTAACTACTTCGCAGGCTGTGGATGGATCTTCACCAAAATTGGTATGGAGGTTTATTAGGCCAACGCGGGGGTACATACACATTTTTAGATTTGCGGTTTTCATGGGCGGTTTTGCATTTTTTTACCAGTACTTCGCCCTCCTCTTGGTGGATCTTCACCAAATTTGGTATGGAAGTTCATTGGATTCATGGGGAAATACATACAAATTTTCAGTTTGCGTTTTGCGGTTTTTATGGGCGTTTTTTTACCACTACCTCACCTCCTGTAGATAGATATTAACCAAATTTGGTATGAAGGTTCTTTAGGTTCTTTACAAATTTTCAGTTTTACATTTTGCGTTTTGCAGTTTGTATGGGGTCGTTTTTGCGTTTGTTTTTTTTTTTTTTTACAATTATACATAAGTGAAGCAACTTTTCATGTGCTAAGATAGCCTTTCCTTAATCATGAATTTATATAACTCCCGTCCAGGGGACGGGTACTCCAGCTAGTTGATAATGCCTTAATACTACTCATCCCAGTCTTTTGTTACGAAAAAAATCAGTATTTGCTTTACTTCATAGAATTTCCATGAACAATGCATATCATCTTAATATTAGTCCTCTCACTTGTTCAATTACTCAGCAAATCAGTATTTATTTTACTTAATAGAGTTTCCATGAACAATGCTTATTATATATTCTAGTAGATTCTACAAAAATTGTATTCGATCATTATGCTGATCAGACTTTACTGTCATACACTTTTCTTCTCTTTTACTAATGATAACATATACATATTTCTGTTGAAAATTGAAGATCAAAGTGACATGCTAATCTATGGAACACTATATACGCCTTCGTGTATTTATATAATGTGTTTTCAGGAACTGTCTTATTTATATCTTTATTTGTTTATGAAAATTGTAGGTGTGTGTCTGCAGCCCTCAGTGAAGGTGTGATCTCCAGTGACCCGGATCTCATTAGCCTGAAGAACAGTTCTCCAAGTAAGGTTAACTATAGTTATCTTTTTGACCCGATAAGTTGCTATAAGGTTTCGTATATAAAATTTCGACCACGTTGCAGAGCAGAATATTTACAAGATGTTTCACATATCTCTGTTTGCATGTACGTACATTCCATGAAGAAATACTTTCACGTGGAATGAAGACAAAGAATACCACTATACAGGTAAAATCGGTTTCAACACTATATAACACTGTGTAACTTATAACAGAAATAGGTTCTTCCATTACAACATTGTATAGTTCCTAACGGAAATAGGTTCTTCCATTACAACACTGTATAGTTCATAACGGAAATAGGTTCTTCCATTACAACATTGTAGGGTTCATAACGGAAATAGGTTTTTCCTTTACAACATTGTATAGTTTATAATGGAAATAGGTTCTTCCATTACAACACTATATAGTTTATAACAGAAATAGGTTCTTCCATTACAACATTGTATAGTTTATAACAGAAATAGGTTCTTCCATTACAACACTGTATAGTTTATAACAGAAATAGGTTCTTCCATTACAACACTGTATAGTTCATAACGGAAATAGGTTCTTCCATTACAACACTGTATAGTTCATAACGGAAATAGGTTCTTCCATTACAACATTGTATAGTTCATAACAGAAATAGGTTCTTCCATTACAACACTGTATAACTTATAACGGAAAGAGGCTCTACTATTAGAGTTTTTACACTCTATAAGAAAAACATGTCTGATTAAAAAATGTTTATGTCTCCTATATGTAATAATTTCTTCCATAATAACCTTGTTAAGTAAAGCAATAACTAAAGGATCTCTAGTTCATCAGAATCCATTACACCTGCAGTCGTTAAAGTCCTATCTTGTGAATCCTTCTTATCATCCTTTCCAAGTAAGTAAATTCAATTACTTTCGTTTACTTAATAGTTTTAGATTTTCGAACAAGGAATAATTATTTTTAGCTCCAAATGCATACAACTGCAGCACGTGAGAAACTCAAAATATCTTATTTCCTCTTATAAAAGTATTTGTTTAACTACATCATCCATTTCATTCCTGCTACACTCAGTTACTTGGCAGAAACTTTTGTTTAACTACATTATCCATTTCATTCCTGCTACACTCAGTTACTTGGCAGAAACTTTTGTTTAACTACATTATCCCTTTCATTCCTGCTACACTCAATTACTTGGCAGAAACTTTTGTTTAACTACATTATCCATTTCATTCCTGCTACACTCAATTACTTGGCAGAAACTTTTGTTTAACTACATTATCTATTTCATTCCTGCTACACTCAATTACTTGGCAGAAAATATTTGTTTAACTACATTATCCATTTCATTCCTGCTACACTCAATTACTTGGCAGAAAACTTTTTATTCTTGTCTGTGGTGATCACGTTAAATCTACTACTTTTTCTTAGGACTAACAAAATTTTTCTCTAATCTCCTTCACTATAAAAACTTAACATACTTTTCAATAGTAATTGAAAAGCTAATTCATTAATTTTGTGTTATGCATTTCGCTTAGAGAACGTTCATATGTCTTACTCCCTTCTCTGTTTTAACTTTCACAACAGCTTTGTTTAACACAAAAGATTAGGATCACTAATATTATCACCAAATTCTAAAACTGTTATTTTTATATACCTTCATACAACATACACGTATAGCAGGCATCTGTTTAGTGTACAAACAACTAATCAGAATTCCAGGAGGTACGTACAGCTGAGTTATAATATACAATTGAATTATTCTCATCTCTCGCAAAAATGAAACAAAATCTGTCATTTTAGTCCCATAAAAATAGCAATTAGGCACCTAATATGAGACTTCATTTTAAAAATTCACTCCTCGTAAACTTTCCATAAGCAGATAGCCGTTTAGTGGACATAGCACAAATCCAAATTCTGCGGGTATTTGGCGAAAATTAATTAAATAAATAATTAGTTCTCGGGGTGCTCGAGGATTTAGCAATTCTCCTTCACTTCGCTCTCAAAATTAATTAAAGGCAACGTGAAAAAATAAAAACACATAAATGCATATATATACACATACGCGTGAGAACTGTAAAAAACTATGTTGGGAGAAGCAAGAGAGGCAGAAGCGAAGAGGTTAGGGCAGTGGCATACATCGACAAAGTATTCCAACAAACTGACACTTTTAAGGGGGGCGGGGATCTATATATCCTATGCCCGATTTAATTTTAATGTGGAAGAAACCGGAGTACCCGAAAAAAACCCACTTTTTTCTAGTTGGGGGCCTGATAAGTCTTCAAGATGTAGACTTGAAGAGATTTGCTGAGTGAGATACTGTGTTTGAGAGACCTGAAAAACGTACTAAAACGAAACAATGATAAAGTTACATATCGACGTCAGGAATGTTGTGGAAATGGATGTGGTTCCCCATGAATCTTCACGGTTTTATAACTTTAGCTGGATTGGAGGTCCTAGTCATGATTCCATTGAGAGTTGAGTGAAGTAGCTGTGGTGGCTTCGTCATCCAGTTTTCCAGGAGTAACAGATGCTGATTTGGATTGCAGGAGGCTTAAAGGTTGGGTCCCTCTGAGTGATTGTACAGGGCAGGTTAATCGCAGGCGTCTGGGAGAAGGCTGAGCGTCGCTGGTGATTATGTCAGGCGGGTGCATAGGCAGAAGAGACTTGCGGTGATTTCCCTGTTGGTGTTCTGCGACTTTGGTTTGGGAGAAGGTGGCGGCTGGCGTGGTGTTGTAGTAGTAGTAGTGGTAGACCGAGTAGGCCTGATCTGCTGTCTAGGTCGTGATTTTTCCTCCCTAAAGTGGAAGAAACAAAAGGAAAAAAATCTCTTATCAGTAGTAAATCAGTAGTGCGTAGCTACCATTTCAACAAAATATGTAGCTCTTCCAATTGTCCTGGAAATGATTCCATGAACGTACTTAATAGTCAAGGGATAGTTGTCGTTGAGAAAATCACGGATTTATTGAGTAGTAATGGACCAATCCACATTTCTCAAGAAAAAACATGACTGTTACTGATAGGCGGACGGCATTGGACGACTGGTTCCAAGATGCGCTGAGGTAGTCCCAGTTCTCTCGGGTCCGTGATAGGATGAAGATATACAACGGGTATATTGTCTGATAACTTCTGCCGAAGGTTTGTGCTTCTTAACGAAAGCACACGTATTCTTCAGCGAAAATGTGGCGGGAAGGCCTTCAATAATAAGTAGGCTTGCAGCTTCTTCTTCTTCCTGCATCCTTACTCGATCGTGGCTCGCTGACGGGAGTAGCTCAATGGACATAGCATACGAACCGTCCGTCCAATTGAAAAGTACCCGTGCTAAACGTCACATTAAACCTTACTTTCATTTACCATATTCAGCAGCATTAAGGCAGCAAAACTGAAATGGTTGCCAAACTCGAACTTCTTATGTGAATGTTTATTCATTTAAACTCGATCTTTGGGGGTCCATCTGAGTTTTTCTACCAAATTTCATCAAAATGGGTTCACCCAGTTACTCAGAACTAAAGTGACTGCTTGTCCTGACTATGACTTCTGTCGAAAGTTAAACTGACTCATATTTGAATATTATAATTTTTATCTAGCTTAGTTTAATATTGATCGTTTGTTAAGTATATCACATTTAAATTTCTTAGATGATTTATGTACTTATGAACAGTTATATTATTAATATTTTGTATTTGCGATTAGTACTTCAATATATGTCTAATCTAAATAAATGAAGCTATCCAACTTCGAAGTGCGATAGTGGAGTTACGTACTAAAACAGCTACTAATATCTAACTGATGAGTTAGTTGAATATAATAGCACTAAATTGTTTCCTCTGACTTATTTACACTATAAGTTCGTGAATACTATACTTCTGCGTAATTTCTACTCCACTGTTATGTTTTTAAACTGATTTACAGTTCTAACTCTAAGCCTAAAACTAGATTATAATTTAGTAAACTTTTGCTGCTCATAATAGTTCTAGACTTAAGTTCTTATCTAATTTGTTATTAAATGTAAGTTTGTCTGATAGATGTAAGGCCAAATTATCATGTCTTTGTATATGTATGTATGTATATGATAAGAAGTATTCATATATCTTTCATAATTTAAGTTTAAATATTAATTTTGCATAAATTCAGAAGCTTTTTCATAATTACATATTACCTGACTCGTCTATACAGTTAGGAATGGCTCTCTATAAAAATCGATATATTTTTTTATAAGATAATTAAGTTACTATGCATTACTTTTTCTGAGTAAGAAATAATTATTAGTTTCCGTGCAGAAAGTGAATAACACTGACTGACACGATTAGTTAAATTAAATAGGATTTGTGTCTGACACGTGGTGTAATTTAGACCGCTTTATCTGTGTCTCTTTTATAGCCTAGAACCACTTATAACAGTCGACTTGGATCTATAGTTAACGATGCGGAATCTAGGAACGTAGAGGCTACGTAACATAGTTATGAGTGTTAAGATATTACAAAACAGTGCAATTTATCAAGTATTTAGTGGAAGGAATATTTGACCTCTCCAAAGCTTGTAACCACTTGGTAACTCTAGAAATATTTTATGTTTTTCCTCTATTAATGTTTTGGGAAAAGAACAATAACAATTTATATGTGGCGTAGTTGATATTTTTCTCTGTATGAATTACTTTTTTGAAAGTGTATCTAAAGAATAAGGATCAAATTTGGTATAAAGGTTGAAGGTCACATAACTAATTCGACTAAAGATTTTGGCAAAATTAAAGGTCATGTGTATCTGATGTAATGCTGTAAGCATATTTAAGTTGCGGTTTTGAGGCTGTTTTCACAGTCATTGGCTATTTGAAGACGCGATAATATGTGTTGGATATTATTACTTTCTCAAGCTATCTCTCTCTATTTTACCTTGGTATACATCATTAGAACAGTGCTTTCTCATACTTACTCTGAAATGTCCAGTATGTGTTGTAAATATTCATACATTATCGAACTACATATCACTTTTCTCTCTTGTTTATCTTGAAA